AAATTGTAGTGTTCATAGAAATTTCCTGTTTCAAATTGTTTTTCGTGTCAAATCTATAAACTTAGGTGGAGTTGGTGAGATTTAATGAGCTGATTCTTGAAAATTTTGGTTTGTGCAGCAATCCGCTAATCAATATGGCTCCATTGATTCTGGCAATTCTGCTATTAGTCAGATTCCAAATGAACGGTCTGTGACTCCATTTTTACAGGACTTCATGGATCCAAGCATGTGCTATCTTCCTAATGGATATCCATCTTATTACTATGGAGGTATGTTGATATGTATGCTAGAATTTGAGTACTCAAGCGGGTTTCGAATGATATCCATCTGTTTTTTGCTTTGTTGCTTTGTGATATCTAACTTTTTGAAGGTTGTGTTGTAGGTTTTGATGGGACTGGTAATGACTGGGATGATTATTCAAGATATACGAATTCAGATGGGGTTGAAATGACTTCTGTAAGTTTTTGCTCGTACTACGACAATGAATTTCCTCGACAACGTCTTTTGTTATCAAATTGTGACTTCTGCTATGTTCTTCAGGGAGTCTATGGGGATAATGGATCTCTTATGTATCACCACGGGTATGGATATGGACCCTATGGTCCTTATTCACCGGCGGCGTCTCCGGTTCCCTCTATGGGGAATGACGGTCAGCTGTATGGACCTCAGCACTATCAATATCCTCCATATTTTCAGCCTCTTACTCCAACCAGTGGGCCGTATAATCCTAGTCCTACTGTTCCTCCAACTCAGGGAGACATTTCTACCTCTGCAGCCACTGAGCAGAAGCCGGTTCCAGTTGAAACGGGTAATCCGAACGGTAATGGCTTGACAAATGGTGGGGGAACGAAGGGAAACAATGTTGCAGCTCCCTTAAAATCTACTTATCAAAATTCAACATTTGGTTCGAATGCGTATGCAAGGAGTGCTATGCCAGGACATATTCCTACTTCGGGTTATCAGGATCCCAGATATGGTTTTGACGGGTTGAGGTCTCCTTTCCCATGGTCGGACGGTCCACTGTACTCAGATGGACAGTCCAGGCTTGTCAACAACTCTAATATCACCTCTTCTATCTCAAATGCGAATAACATACCGTCTTCAAGGAATCCAAGTTTCCGTCCTGGCTCTCACTATGTAGTAAGCGTTCCGAGCATTATGTTTCTACTTTTAATCTCTTTTTCAGTATTAAATGCTCATCGTCTAATATATTTCGTTCTTCAGGGTTATCCTGATCCTAGACCCATGTCAGGAATGAATACCACACAGGGTTACTTGAATAGGATGTACCCGAATAAGTTGTACGGTCAATTTGGAAACACGGTCAGATCTGGTGTTGGGTTCGCCTCACATGGTTATGATTCTCGATCTAATGGACGTGTGTGGCTTGCAGTGGATAACAAATACAAGCCCAGAGGACGAAATGGTGGTTATTATGGATATGGCAATGAGAACATGGATGGTTTGAATGAGCTGAATAGGGGACCCAGAGCCAAGGGTAGCAAGAACCAGAAGGGATTCGTGCCTGTTCTAGCGGTGAAGGGACAGCTTTTACCGCCTATGAATGCAACCGAAGAGGAAGAAAAAGATAAGGTGTCGACTCCAGACCGAGACCAATACAACAAAACAGATTTTCCCGAAGAATATGTTGAGGCCAAATTCTTTGTTATTAAGTCGTATAGCGAAGATGACGTGCATAAAAGCATCAAGTATAATGTTTGGGCTAGCACACCTAATGGAAACAAGAAACTTGATGCTGCATACCAGGAAGCTCAAGAGAAGGCTGGCGGTTGCCCCGTTTTTCTTTTCTTTTCGGTGTGTATTTGTCCGAGATAGTCGATTGTTACTTCCTTTTTGGGGTTTTTTTTCCCTTCATTTGATATCGTGTTCGTCTTTTGATAGGTCAATACCAGTGGGCAATTTGTTGGCCTTGCTGAGATGGTAGGACCGGTGGACTTTCAGAAGAACTTGGAGTACTGGCAACAAGACAAATGGAACGGCTGTTTCCCTGTTAAGTGGCATATAGTGAAGGATGTTCCCAACAGTCTATTAAAACACATTATTCTTGAGAACAATGAGAACAAGCCTGTCACCAACAGCAGGGACACACAGGAGGTAGCTATTTTCGTGAATTCAATTCGATTCGTTGTTAATCTTATTCGTTACGGTACTGAAAAACACGTTTGTTTGTAGATCAAGCTGGAGCCTGGACTTAAGATGGTAAAAATCTTCAAGGAGCACGCGAGCAAAACTTGTATTTTGGACGATTTCGGTTTCTACGAAACCCGACAAAAGACAATCCAAGAGAAGAAAGCCAAGCAACAGCAATTCAAGAAACAGGTAAGAACATGTCTCAACTGGGTATCGAGAAACCATTTCGCTTCTGTCATGGTGTTTAACAGTTCTAGCAATGCAGGTTTGGGAAGGAAAGCCTATCGATGAGAAGAAGGAAGTTTCCGACGTAGTAGTGGACGTGAAAACACCAAAGCCAGTTGAAACCACAGACGATTTAGTAAAGGAGGAGACAAAGATCTCTGAGAATGGATCAGTGACGACGACGACAACAACAACAGCATCAGAGAAGAGAAGTGGTGTAGCAAATGGATACTAAGTGCACGGGGTCAGTCGAGCCAAGCCGAGCCTTCTTCTTCTTCCCTCCTCCTCCCTGCAGTTTATAATCGAGCTTCTTGTCGTCGGAACAAGGAGCTTTGTCAGAAGTTTTGCTGCTTTGGATATATAAAAAAAAAAAAAAAAAAAAGGAACAAGCTACTGGCTAGTTCTTCTCTCCATACTTATTTTGGCTACAATTAAGGAATATGTGTTCTTGCTTTGCTAGTCTCCAGAATGAATCCACAATACTACTACTGATGATGATGATGATGATGCTTTTGGATTTTTAGAAAAATCAATGGTGGTGAGAGCTGAGTTATTACGATGATGACGACGATGACGATGAACGATGCTGTCTCGTTTTGTTACACATCTGGTCTTCTTTTTCGAGTCTGTTGTGGCGTTTTAACCGGGTTTTGGTTTCTAGAGGATCTTAGCTTTTTTCTTCCCTTCTTTAGTCTTTTTTTTTCCCCATATCTATTAAGATCTATCAAGTTCTTCTTCCCTTCCCTTCCTCTGTTCTAAGCTGGTTTTTGTTCTTCACTGTTCTTAGTTTTTTACTACTGGGTTTTTGTCAATTTCCTGTCTTGTAAATCTCTAGATCTGACAATGTTGTTTGGTTTGCTGCTGCTGCTGTTGCTGTTGCCGCTGCCGCCTTCTGTATCAGTAAAAGAGCTAGATGGAAGCAAGTTTGGAAATAGTTCCATATAAATCCTTCCTTTCTTCAATCAAATCAGATCAAATCCCTTTTTCTTGATTTTTATTTTCGTGTTCTTTCTCCTTTTCTGTCTGGTTTGGCTTTGATCTATGAACACGGCTGCGGAGACTGTGCTCGACTTCGACAATGTAGCACAGCTAACAGTACTCGTATTTTATTATGTAGTTGAATTACGAATTTTAAACAACTCAAAATTACTGTACTTCGAAGTTTCAATTAGATTCATTTGAACTTTAAACTTCCGACCATCTATTTCGATTTTAGGCTTTTAAAACTCAAATTTAAGTTGGTGTAAGTTAATCTCTGTACCTTTTGTTCCTTCGATTCTCCTGTGGTTTCGTGTTCTTGTTTGTTCCATCTATGCAAGCGAGCGGTTTATAGCGTAATTGGTTATTGGTTTGATTTTGATTCCTTTACTTAAAACATTATCATATCAACCTCGGTTTGATTTTGATTCCTTTACTTAAAACATTATCATATCAACCTCGGTTTTGAAAATACGGTGGAAAATTAATTTAAAAATATTGAACAATTAAAAGTTCATGAACTAAATAAACATAAAGAGATTTTCAATTTTTTTTAATAATTAAATAATTTCTGTACATAAATGTGAAGTTTATAATATTCAGACAGTTGAATTATATTTATATTTATTATTGAATATTGATTTATAAATATTTCTATCCTTTATTACTTAATAAAGATTATTTAAAGTAGTTTCATTTTAATTGAATATATCTAATAGGAACTTAAATGCTTCTAAATATAGGTTAGTTATAATAAATTTTATTAATTGAATTAAATAATTTATGATTTTTTTAAATATTTTGTATAATTCAAAGGAAAGGACAAACGAGAGCAGGGGTGTACATTCAACCCGACAACTTGGACCAATTCAACCCGAAAATATAAGGGTTGGGTTGGGTTCATTTTTTCTGAACCCGAACTAATTCGATTCAATTTCGGGTTCATGAGATAAAATCCTTGTGTTGATCCGAGCCAAATAAAAATATATAAAATATATTAAAAAGTTAATCATAAGGGTGCTTCGTCCTAACCTAGACAACTCACACGCTGAGTTCAACAAATTTCATGATCTATCCTACAATGTTGAATTATATTAATATGTTACCATTTTACATCCTTGTTTTTTATTTCAAAAAATAATTCAACCCAACCCGAAAATAGAGGGTTGGGTTGAATTGAGTTTGTGAAAATTTTTGGGTTGAGTTGGGTTACCAATCCAACCAACCCGAACTTTTGGGTTGGATCAAAGAAGGCTTAACCCAACCCAACTCGAATCATGTACACCCTATAGGAGAGAGAAAGAGGAATATTTTGGGCATTTATCCGATGTAATAAACACATTTTACCACTAATTTTTTTTAAATATTTTGTATTTTGTATTAGTTTCAACAAATTTCCAAATTTATTCATACCATTAATGAAAAGGACAAAATAGACATTTGACTATGTGGGACCCACAATAATAATAATAATAAGTGAATTTTGGAAATTAAGAGAGTAAAAAAAAAATATATATATATATATATATATATATATATATATATATTATTACATTTTTAATTTTTTTAGTAATTTGTTCATCTTTCTATTGATTATTTAATCTTCAACGGCTTTTCTAAGTTAATAATTATGAATTTCAAAGACGCAAGGGACAGAGTTTCGTCGTGTCAGCAGCCGTTACATTGGATAATCTCGTGACTTTTTTTTTTTTTTTAATTTTTTCTTATAAATTTTTTGTTGAGTGTTCGATTCGGTATTATCTGTTTGAAGCTTTTCCAGTTCTTTGTTAGGCATAAAAACGTGTGAAATTAAGCGACAATTCGTTCATCTCTTCCGAAATGGTATCGATTTTGAGGAGATCGCCGAAACTGTTGAACTCCATTTGTAGGAGGCGATTTTCTGCTTCCTCTGATGGAAATCTTACGAGCCATGGAGGAAAATCTATGAATCTGTATTCTGCTATCAATCAAGCGCTTCATATTGCCCTTGAAACTGATCCTCGGTGTGTTTCTTTAATACGCTTTTTTTGTTTTTTGGTTTGTGATCCCTGTAGTTTTGATAAAATCTTCTGTGATTCTGTGTTGCTTTTTTCGCAAATGGTTGTGGTTTTTCTTTGATGAGTTTGCTGTGTTTTTCGACTTTCTGCTGTTTGGTTGCTGTTTTGCTTGAGATTTTTGAGTTGTTAGCTAGTGAGAGCTTGCATGGAAATGAAAGTGAAGGAAATTTGATGAAATCTTAAGTGCTTTATTTGGATTTGATCGGACGATTCTTCCGCAGATTGATGAATCTTGTGGAACTGTTAATTTCTGAACGTGTTCTTTCTGTTCTTCATGTGATTAAATCTTGGGGCAACAGTGACCTATCAGTTTTTTGGGCTAATTGGACTTGTTAGAGTCATCCTTTCAAGCACAAAGCTAAAGAGTTCTAGGAATAAGCTACCGAAGGCTTTGTTTTGGTAAGTTTTTGGTAGGAAGAAACCAAAGATATTTCAGAGGAGATCGAGAGATTTCAGATATTGTTCTTTGTTCTAGGGCGTCCTGTTCGAGTTCTTCTATATAAACATATATCTTTTTGATGAATGGGAATTTAGCTGTTTTTTTAACACCCTTTGTTAACTGTTTAATGTTCTGGTAGCAATTTTGTTGTTTAAGAACAATATACTTCCACATTCAGTTCTTATGTGTTTGGAGAAGACGTGGGCTTCGGTGGGGTCTTCCGTTGCACAACTGGATTAGTGGATCGATATGGAAAAGATCGAGTTTTCAATACCCCTCTTTGTGAGCAGGTAGCCTACTTGTTGACTTTGAAATTTTGGAGGTCGATATGATAGTACAGCCATTGTTCTTCCTAGTAATATCATGTGATCAATATTCTATTATCGAGTATATGTGAAAAGCTTCATTTTAACTCATTTTTAATACAGGGAATTGTTGGCTTTGGCATTGGTCTTGCAGCAATGGTAATTTTGAGGAATTTGCATACTTAGCCATGTGATGGAATTTCTTTGTTTCTCACATCTTTTCCCTTTTCTAACGCGGAAGTCGTTTCACGTGGTAGGGAAATAGGGCCATTGCAGAAATTCAGTTTGCAGATTACATTTATCCAGCTTTTGATCAGGTAAGCTTTCGGCTTCGTTGAGATTCACCCTCCTGCCATCTTGTTTGGCATTATCTTGAGAAAAATTTTGGCCTTCGTAGATAGTTAATGAAGCTGCAAAGTTCAGATATCGTAGCGGAAATCAGTTCAATTGTGGTGGTAGATTTCCCCCTCTCTTTGCATACAGCCAACTTCTTTCATGTTTACTTGTTATTGGCCCTTCATGTCACGCATATTTACGAATCCTCTCAGGTTTAACAATTAGAGCCCCATATGGAGCTGTTGGTCATGGTGGTCATTATCACTCACAATCACCTGAAGCTTTCTTCTGTCATGTTCCTGGAATTAAAGTATGTTTCCATCTTCTGCTAATTTGTCTTGATAAGTTTTAGGTCTTTTCAGTACTTTGTGACAAATATGTAACAATCCAAACTCACCGCTAGCAGATATTGTCCTCTTTGACCTGTTATGTATTGCCGTCAGTCTCACAGTTTTAAAATGCGTCTACTAGGGAGAGGTTTCCACACTGTTATAAGGAATGTTTCGTTCCCCTCTCCAACTGATTTGGGATCTCATGATTCACCCCCTTGGAGGCCCAGTGTCCTCGTTGGCACACTGCCCGGTGTCTGGCTATGATACCATTTGTAACAGTTCAAGCTCATTGCTTGCAGATATTGTCTGCTTTGGCCCGTTATGCATCCGCGTTAGCGTCATTTATAGATTAAGGAGCCTTCATTTATGACCCATATGTTGGCAGCCAATGTATTGGCAGAGGTCTTCTGATGAGCAAAGGATAGAGTTTTTATGACCCAAAAGTTAGCATCCCTATCTGACCGTAAAACCAGCAGTCATTTTGAAGAAGTTCAGAACTGGAGTCTGGAGGAAAGGGGGACAGAATTTCACCTCTCTTACCTCTAGTGTGTAGACCATGCCATCTTTTCTTGCTGCCGTGTAGAATAAACTTAACTTAGGACGTGTCTCAGTTATTTTGCTATTATATTAACTTCATTGCATGAATTATTACTTTTTTGGAAAACCATAATTTTATCGTTTTCATGCTAAACAGGTTGTCATCCCTCGAAGTCCATACCAAGCCAAGGGATTGCTACTTTCATGCATCCGTGATCAAAACCCTGTTGTATTTTTTGAGCCCAAGGTATGAAAACTTTTCTAAGTTGTTTGGATTGATGTTTGTCCAGAAGTTGGGATGAAAATATTTTGAGCGTTCGTCTTCAGTGGCTTTACCGTTTGGCTGTTGAAGAAGTTCCTGAGCATGACTTCATGTTGCCTCTATCAGAAGCAGAGGTTTGATCTCATCTCTTTTCATGTTCTAATTATTTATGAATAATTTCATAGTGCATTAATAACGCAATGTTTGATAAACCTGAAAACGAGATATTCAGGTGATCCGAGAAGGCAGTGATATTACATTGGTTGGTTGGGGAGCGCAGCTTTCTGTTATGGAACAGGCCTGTATTGATGCTGAAAAAGTAAATCTCTTTACTTATTTTCTGGTATCTGTATTGTATGACAATGGAATTTTATATGCATCTGAATGGCAGGCTGAATTTCTTTCACTATTTTACGTACTGGTGTAAAGGGAAACCTTTCCATCTCGCTCTCCTTGGCTTTCAACTTATGTTCTCCTATCTGTTCATGTGTCGTTACTTTCTGCTTTTATTTAGTAATCGGGTTGGGTCTCTATCCCTTGCATTATGTACCCTTGGCCCACTCTACTAATTTCTCGGGAGGCTTCATGTAACAGCCATAGCTTACCGCTAGCAGATATTGTCCTCTTTGGGCTTTTCCTTTTAGGCTTCCCTTCAAGGTTTTTATAACGTGTCTGCTCGGGAGAGGTTTCCATACCCCTACAAAGCGTTCTCCTCCCAACCGATGTAGGATCTCACAATTCACTCCCCTTTGGGACCCAGCGTCCTTGCTGGCACTCGTTCAGCTCCCTAATCGAAGTGGTCAAGTTCATAAATAATTAAAATGATATTACAATGGTGAAGCTTAATTACTGTAGGATGAAAGCTTTTCAACATTCAATCTGAAACTTTGAAGAATATGTGTAAACTGTTTAATTTTTGACATTTCAGTCTGTGAAGTCGCTAGGATCCAAGAAAATAATCAACTAATGATCTCGATTTGCTCGATATATATTGCAGGATGGAATCTCCTGTGAACTGATTGACCTGAGAACTCTAATACCATGGGATAAGGAAACGGTGGAGGCCTCAGTTAAGAAGACTGGGAGACTTCTTGTAAGTAATATTTTCGTTTCTTTATAACAAGCTTCCTGAGAAATGAGAACTTTAAGTGAAACAGATATAGATTTATAACTAATCTCCATTTCGCTCTGTAGATTAGCCATGAAGCTCCGGTTACCGGAGGCTTTGGTGCTGAAATATCCGCTTCCATTGTTGAACGCTGCTTCTTACGGGTGAGTGCGGATTTTCAGCATATTTCTATTGGTAAAAGTACATTTTTAAAAAGATTAGGAATCACAACAGAGATGAATTTACTCCCTCGCTGATTAGAGAGGGGCAGGTAAACTCTCCCTTCCCCTCCAACTTTCCTGAACAGACAAAGCATGGAATATACTCTCTCCTTCCCCTATGTAAATACTCCAACATTCCCTTGGTGGCCCTCCTGTTGCTTATTCCCCCTCGGTAAGTGTAACAGTCCAAGCCCATTGCTAGCAGATATTATCCTCTTTGGACTTTCCCTTTTGGGCTCCTCCTTAAGGTTTTTAAAATGCGTTTATTAGAGAGAGGTTCCACACCCTTACAAAGAATGCTTCGTTCCCCTCTCCAACCAATAACCAATGTGGGATCTGACAATTCACCCCCCTTCAAGGATCAACGTCCTCGCAGGCATTCGTTCCCTTATAAAGAATGCTTCGTTCCTCTCTCCAACCAATGTGGGATCTGACAATTCACCCCCCTTCAAGGATCAACGTCCTCGCTGGCATTCGTTCCTTTCTCCAATCAATGTGTGATCTCATTATCCCACCCCTTCAAGGCCTAGTGTCCTCGTTGGTGCACCGTCCGGTGTCCACCCCCTTTGGGGCTAGCGTCCTCACTGGCACACTACTTGATGTCTGCGCTGATACCTCTGATACCATTTGTAACAGCTTAAGCCCACCACTAGCATATATTGTCCTTTTTGGATTTTTCGTTTCAGACTTCTCCTCAAAGATTTAAAACTCGTATGCTAGGGAGAGGTTTTCACACCTTATAAAGAAGTTTTGTTCCTCTCTCCAACCGATGTGGAATCTCACCATCCAATCCCCTTGAGATCCAACGTCCTTGCTGGCACTCGTTCCTCTCTTCAATTGATGTGAAATCTCACAGTAACTAACCTGTCGAGTGTGAATTTTCCTTCGTACTCGTCCTAGCGTACTGGATAGTAATGGGTGGCCTTACATCACATTTCTATTTTTAGTAGGCTAAGACCTTTTATCTCACACCCCCAATCCTAGGAACCTTAAACTCTAGTTTGAAATTTGGAAGGTGAAGGCTTGTCCAAAGAACATGAACAATGGCTTGTAGAAAGCAACTAGTTTTAGGGATATACTTTGACGTTCTTACTTTTGTTTGAGTACTCAATACAAGTAGAGTAGATAAAATGAGTATCTCTTTCTCTTGTAGTTGGAGGCCCCTGTTTCCAGAGTTTGTGGATTGGACACTCCATTCCCTCTTGTGTTTGAACCATTCTACATGCCTACTAAGAACAAAGTAAGAGACTACCTTCCATCTTCTTGCAAAAGATTTGGCATAATGTTCATTCCTAACCAGTATATTACCTCTCTCTCTGGCTGGTGTAGATATTGGACGCCATCAAAGCAACTGTAAAGTATTAGATCAAAAAATTGCCGCTTTCAAGCAGACAACAAGAAATGTTCTCATTCCATCAGTCTCTATCGATGAACTAGATGATGTAGCCTTGATGATGTCCCATTGTAGGTGGCTGTAAGGGCCTTCTCTTGTTGAATAAGATAGTTTGAGTCAATGATGGCTGGATATCAAGATCCTTGGCAATAAAAAGTTACTATATTTATGAGAGTATATATTTACCTTTAGAAATAAATAAATGCTTCAAGAAAATGGTTAAATTTAGTGCCAAAAAATTCATTTATCATTTGTTAATCTATTTATTAATCCAATAAAAATATTTTTTCCACCCCCTCATTATAATTTTAATCCATTTATTTGACTAGTCGGGAACATGTGGATCCATTTAAGCCTAACAAGGAACACGTGGATCTAGAAAACCAGGCTTGAGAACAATTTCTTAATAGTAGGAAAAGAGAGTCCAATATCTAAAATAGAGCTTAGTCTCTCCATAGTAATATATTCTAGACTCAGGCGTAGGTTGGCTTGATCCAATAGAGTCGGAACACTTTGAGACAGAAGAAAATGATGCTCGATATGCTAGTGTGGGCTGGAGAGAGAAGCTCTGCAAAGCTGGGCACACGACATCAACAATTACAAACAAACTAATCTTCGTTGCAATGGACGAGGACAACCCTCCCCATCTCGAATCGTTTCTAATAATTTCTTATAATTTATAATTTATGAAGTAGAACTAGTTTACAGTTTACATGACCTTGTGTAAAGCACATATTATAAATTGCATAATTGTCTGGTGTGAGTTAATGGAGAAAAACATTCTTCTATACACAATCCCCCACTTTGATCACACAATATCAAAACTTTAAGGAAAAAAAAATGAAGAAAGAAAGAGAAAGTTCAACAACTTCCCTCCACTTTTTATCACACAGATGAACAGGACACTAAAAGAAAAGACATGCATGTAATGCTCATCACTAGACCCTTCCATTTTATGCCAAAAACCAAAGGTCTTCTTCCATATCCTCAAACAGGAAGCAATCTCACCATAAATACACTTTTTTTTCCGGCTAGCTAGCTTCTGTCTGTGTGCCAGTCCGTTTGTTCTCTAAGCATGAAGGAAAATTGACTTCCCGGATGGCTAGTCCGAAGCCAAGAATCTGCAAGTAGATGTTCGGTAAGACGGTAAGACGAAATGACAACCAGAAAAGCTGCAAACATATGTTCGTAAAGACGAAACGACGAGCAATAAGCTTGCTTGTTTTATTTTAGAGTGAGTTCAGGTTATTCAGGCTCAGATCCAAATGTGAAGAAATTCAGTCCAAGAGAAGCATCTTACCATTGCTGGTTTTTCCTGAACTCTGTAAGCACTGGGTATATGTTCTCAAATGCTGTGTATGTCTCCTCTCTCACCTGAAGGAATCAAAATACAGATATTCACAGATCAAAGATATGACTGGTCGAGTGACAGTCACTATCCACAGAGGGTAATGCTATGCTGTTCATCTAATCCTTGTCTCAAGATTGGTCAAAAGTGACCATAAGCCATACTAAAATCATTTTGACTGCTAATTGAATCTTTGATAATTGATGCATATAATAAAGCACTTTATTGAAATCAGAGGACCAGTAACATATCCGAGTCAAGGAACTCGGAGACCTCCCTACTGAATAACTCACGCCCGAACTCAAATAACTAAACCATCACGTGTTCACCCTCCATTACTCCTCTATTCATGACCATCTCCGGCTAACAAACTCGTTAGCTGATTACTAATATATCCTCTGTAATCTAATAGTATTTCTGACATCTACGTTAACATAAATTTCTATACAATCGACGATTTTTTATCATCTTACCAAGAATTCAATTATTGGTAAGCTTCAATCTATTTGGAAGTACATTTTTGCTGAATTTAGTGTTCAGACTAGAAAATACGAATATAAGATAACAGGGGCCGATCGAAGAGTTTCTCCGTAAGTGGGGCTTGAGCTATTTTGTGGAGTCTTTGAGGGGGGGAAACAATGGAACTTGGTTCTTTGTTATAAAATTAAATTAAAAAAAAAAAAAAAAAATACAACACTGATTTTAACAAGAACGGGAAACGGCAGTTGAATTTTTACCTTAGCCCCAGTGAGAACTATTTTTCCAGAAACGAAAATGAGAAGCACAATCTTCGGTTGTTTCATCCGATAAATCAATCCAGGAAATAACTCTGGTTCGTACTGAAAAGAAACGGAGGGCGAAGTTTTAATAACGAAGTTACATTTCACATATCCAAGAAGTTCGACATCAAAATATAATGGTTAACCTGATATAAAACATATATTAAAATTTCAACATTGTAGACACATGAAAAATCATTAATGGACTAGTTCCCCACAAAAGTCCATATCAAAGAATCACTCAAAATATTGGACAAACCATAGTCAAGCACAAAAATATACATACATACAGGTCATGCCCCCAAAAGAATATATCAGAAGAGGTAAAGATTTCTAGCAGAAAAATGCTTGCAAACTGTGGACCTTAGGAATCTGACAAAGATAAAGATCTAAAGCTTACACTTGAAAAGGCACCGTGTGAATATGCAAGACCCTCGAGTCTTATGGGGAACTTAACATCACATGAGCCAACAATATTCTGAATCTTAAAATCCTGCACCAGATTAAAAAAGCACAAGCATATATTACAGCAAGAACAAACACTAAATAAATAAGAAAAGCAATAGAAAAGGCCATCAGCTAAAAGCATCATGAGGTAAAGCTAATTCCTTGTTCAATTTGAACGCGAATGAGATCATGGATCTAAGAGTCTGCCTGACGGCATTTGCAATTCCATGCACGCAAAAAAATTGGTCAGATGAAGAATTTGTATGAAAATGTGCTACATAATTTTAGTTTCCCTCTCTAAATTGTGTATATCTTATTTTTCCTCTCTTTTGTCTTCTTTCGTTCTTACTGAAAGATACTTTCTATTTGTTAAAAAAAAAAGATCTGAAGGACCCTACACATGAGGGGAAGAGAAGCACGTTACCTTGAACTTGGCAGGAAATCCAAGTTTTTGGATTATACGGGCATACTGGAAAGAGGAAACAAGGTCCAATATCAGATAAAGAATAGCTTCATATTAAATAGACGGGCGTTGTTTAATGAGATGGAAAGATTTTAATCAATAAACTGAACATCAACTGATCGTGATTAGTGGTTCCCTATGATGATTTAATCTCAGATAACATATCAACGCCTAAATATGTAAATATTCACACATATTTCTTGTTACAATAAGATGTAAACTAAAAATTACTTATAACTATCAACTATTCTCCACACACCTAAAACCTAACAACTAACTAATAAGATATATCTCAGCACATATCTCTAATTTTTTGCCCATGTTTTAAGGTTTTCGGTGAAAATATTTCCTAAATTAGATACATTATTTCTGGAATACTTATAAAATGAAATCTGTGAGATTTAAACTTCAAAATTCAATTTAAATCACTGAATCAGGGGAGGGGGACTGATGAGTGATGTTAAACAACTAGTCAGACCTTTGAAAAATTAATGAACCAAATGATAATGTTTTAAGATAAAAATCGAGTAGACCTTCTCAAGCTGTGTGATTCTATCATCGATATCCCGACAGCCAATGAGTAGAGAGGTGATTTCACAACCTCTACACACTAAGAATACTGGAAAGAAATTAAGTACCTTTCTTGCAGCTAATTTTGATTGTTGTTCGCTCTTGGCTCCAGTACAGACCTACACCACATCATACATCCAAATAGCTAAAACAAGATACTCTTCAAATGCAACAGCCAATTTACAAGAAAAAACATTCATCCTTATACTGGCACTTTAAGCACACGAGAACTCTCACTCAACTTAAATTCAATTCAAACAACTTTCATCAAGTTTCAAAACAAATTATTTGAACAATGAACCTGTTTAATAGGGATTCACGCAAAGAATATCGACAGGATAAATTATAAATATTGGTTTGGGGATTTTTATTTTGAGTCGGGTTGAGGTTCGAATTTTTGACCTTTTGATCAAGGTCATAATGCCTTAATAGTATGTGGGTTTGAGGTTACTATTATATTATGTAATAAAATATTGATCATGATATGGGTCTCCCCCTATGATTTCTTTCCGATGGGTTTTTACAATTATTCTTTATAAGACAAGTAATGGGTTGTACATGAGTCATGTTAATTTTTTTTTCCTTTTTATTTTCTCATCGACTTTTTATCAGGTCAACTTGTCTTTCGGATGTGACCCAACATGCCTATATTTTTTATATAAAAAATAAGAAAATAGGATACCATTTTTGTGTGTCTGACACAAACAAGGTCAAACGTTTCTTCATGACAAACATAGAAATAAAGTAAATCACTGGAAGCTACTGGAATATGGAAGGCAATCTCCCGCTATTTGTAAATTAGATAGACAATAACTTACCATCTTTCCAGATGCAAATATCAGTGCTGTGGTTTTTGGCTCCCTTATTCTCATGATAACAGCAGCAAAACGCTGTTTCATAGAAACAACAATTGAAAATCTTAAAAATTCAGATTCAAATGTAAGAAGGAACAACAAAGCTCCACCCTGAAAATGGGATTCTTGATGTCCATGTTGAATTGCGAAAATATCTGCGATGGTATATTTTTTTTCGTTTACGAAGTCTGCATAGGCTTACAATAAACATCACTTGCCTTGGGATTGTATTCAGCATTGCGAGCTTGCAGAGCAATGGCCTTCAGATCCAACTTGCAGTCCAGATTGACTGTTGACACAATGTTCCTAGAAACAGTATAATACAATATACGTGCATTAAGAAACATAAACTATATATACATACCTGGAGTTCCTAAACATGTAAAGCCAGAACAAATAGACATTGATGCCTACATCTTACTTCACAAAAGGCAGTATGAACCAGCAAATAAAGAACCCAGAGTTGTTTCAATTAAAATCTTCTTCAAGAGGTTGTCTACTTCAGTTTAAGTTTCATTTTAAAACTGATTTCTATTCGGTAGAAGTTTCAGGCCAAAACTAGAAAGGATGGCTGAGAAGGGAATGAAACTCGAGCAATAGTCCTTCAAAATATTTCCAATTTTTAAAACGTTTTGCACATTGAGAATAAATCTCAAGGTTTTTAAGGAAAAAAGTGAGAATATGCGTACACAATACACACATATTTATGATACAAT